CTTACTGTTTTGGCTTTGTCTGCACCTGGCTTTCCAATAAACCCTCTGGTCTCCCGCAACCAGGGATCTGCCTCGCACTCACTCCAGAATACTCCGCCAACTACGTATGGATCCCACGGAGACTCAGCAATTGCAGCAGCACGTGAATCAGCTGACCACCCGGGTTTGCCAAGTATGATGGCAACCCTGACCAATGCCGGGCCTTCCTGATGCAGTGTGGGCTTTTCATTGATAAACATCCGGATCGCTTCGTGGACAACGCCGCTCGCGTTCGCTTTGTAATATCTCTGTTGACTGGAAGAACATGCGAGTGGGCTACTGCCTTGTGGATGGATGACAGCCCTCTGCTGGATTCAGCACGAGAATTTCAATGGGCATTTACTGAGGTTTTCGATCACCCCACAGTGGGACGAATCGCTCTAGGTGAGCGATTATTCGATCTGAAGCAAGGAATGAAGTCGGCGGCTGACTTCTCTCTCGAATTCCGCACCATCGCTGCCGGGCTGCGCTGGCCGAAAGACTGCCTTAAGATTATATACTGCCGCACTTTAAACCCGAAGCTTCAGGACGAGCTGGGAACCTGCTCAGATGCAATGCTCGCTGTTCAATCTCCCCCAGGTGATCGTGTCGAACCAATGCAGCTCGGACGCTCTCCCCTCACCACGGCTGAGCGACATCGCCGTACACAGCACGGACTGTTTGTACTATGGGGGGCCTGGACACATTCTGCGGACCTGCCCCATTCGCCCACCTCTGGAGGGCGCCATTAAGGTAGGCCTCTCCGCTCTCGTGGGCGTGTCCCAAGTTCAATTCACCATGCCTGTTGTGCACTGTGGGAGGGAACCACTAGGGCCCTGTTGGACTCTGGAGCAGCAGGGAGTTTTATGGACCTCACCTTAGCCCAGCTGTTAAAGATTCCTCAGCAGGCACTTTCCACCCCTGTGGCAGTCCTGGGCGTAAGCAGAGAGCCCCTACGTGGAGGGCAAGTTACCCACTGAACCGGACCACTGACCTTAAGGGTGGGGGTCCTCCACTGGGAGACCATTGATCTGTTGGTGCTCCTTCACACCAGGGACCCATTGATTCTGGGCATCTTCTATCGTCGATTCATCAGGAACTTCAGCTAGGTGGTGGCCCCACTCACCTCCCTCACGTGCGGTGGCAGAACCGTCTCCAGTGGACTCCGGAGGCAGGAACTGCCTTCAGGAACCTGAAGCGTGCCTTTTGCTCCGCTCCCGTGCTCCAGCAGTCACGCCTGGAGCTCCCCTTCGATGTGGAGATGGACGCCTCAGAAGCTGGAGTGGGAGCAGTCCTTATCCAAAGAGATCTGGTAATACGTGTGCCTATTTTTCCAGGAAGCTATCTCTGGCAGAACGCAACTACAACGCAGGGGATCGGGAACTCCTTTACAGATCATCGCAATTTGGAGTACATCCAGAACGCCAAGAGGCCGAACCCCCGACAAGCGTGCTGGTCTATGTTCACAGGATTCAACTTTAAAGTCATCTACCTGCCAGGTAAGAAAAACACCAAGTCCGACGCCCTCTCCCAGCAGTTCGACCCACCAGAAGCCGAAGACAAAACCGCCACTGTCTTGGCACCCACCTGCTTCACGGCCACGATCACTTGGTCCCTCAACAAGACCATCCGAATGAACGCAACACTACCCCTGCCGGATGTCCCCCAGGTAAACTAAATGTACCCAACCTACATCGCTCTGCCGTTGTACGCTGGGTACACACATCAAGGAGCTCAGGACACCCGGGGGTCTCTGCTACTCTGCGGTTGGTCTTCCGCTACTACGGCATCCCCGAAGACGTGGTGTCTGATCGCGGTCCGAAATTCACTTCCCAGGTATTTTGAGCTTTCTGTAAGAAGCTCAGCCTGACATTGGCATACCATCCCCAGTCCAACGGGATGGCGAAACAGACCAATCAAGAAGTGTCCAAGGTCCTGCAGTTACTGTGCAAGGACAAACCATCTGAATGGACCACGCACCTAGTTTAGGTTGAGTATGCTCTCAACACCCGTGTTAATCCAGTCACGAATCTCTCTCCCTACCAGTGTGTCCTAGGATATCAGCCACCCCTCTTTCCGTGGGAAGCATCTACCAGTGACATGCCTCTAGTGGAGACCTGGTATAGAGGCTGTAAGGCGGTCTGGCGTTGTACCCAGCTTGCACTCTTCCGTCAGGTACAGAAACAGAAGGTCGACGTGGACAAGCGCCGACCCTCAGCTCCCACCTACAGAGTGGGTCAGCGGGTATGGCTCTTCACCCGCAACTTCAAACTCCCCACGTATCGGAAGTTGTCAGCTCACTTCATCGGGCCGTTCAGGATCAGGCTACAAGTGGGACCAAACTCCTTTCGTCTACAACTCCCATGTATTTACCGCATCTGCCTCACGTTCCACGTTTCACTCCTGAAACCAGTGCGGTACAGCCCAGCACACTCACCGGATAGTGGAGGTTGCCATCGGAGGGGGGGCGGTTTCTGTCACACCCACACAGGCGGGATATAGCAGCTGTGGGCGATCTCCTCTGATTTGCTCCACTTCTTAAACGGATCTTACTCTACCAACAATGCGAAGTATTGTTGCCATGTACCGGAACATTACCGACCATTTTTCTGTCTTTTGTCTCTCCCGCTTTCCCTGCCTGCTGCGTCATACCTGCCTGCCTCGCCTGCCCTGCCTGCCTCCCCTGACCTCCCTACCTGACCCGTCTCTTCTCGTCCCGTGTTCTTCTGTAGGACTGACTTCCCTGGCTCCCGACCTCTGGCGATCGACCTGACCGCAATTCTTGCTTACTGTTTTGGCTTTGTCTGCACCCGGCTTTCCAATAAACCCTCTGGTCTCCCACAACCAGGGATCTGCCTCCAACTCTCATTCTGTTCACTAAAATCCAGCAGACGGGGATGTGAGCCAGCTGGGGAATGCATTACCCCAGAGAAACCATCAGCACCTTTCTTATACTGGAATGCTGTGCGTCTCAATACCATCACATGCACGACACAGACCCTTGAGAAAAAAAGACTTGAGTTTACTTAAAGTAGAAGGCAGTGAAGTAACAACAGAGTCACTTTGACCCAAATAGCAAATTTTTTGCATGTTATTGTAGAAATATTTGAAGGGGGTAAAAAGCCAACAACAGCATTACCAAAATGGAATGTTGAATTACACCCGCCTTCAATTAACTGCACTTCCAAACATGATTCTTCGAGTGCACCTGTTACTGAAGGACCTGAGGTTCATGCATCCTGCAACTGAAAATCTGAAAGGAATCCGAAGGAAGCCACACACACACACACACACACACACACACACACACAGTACACGCACACTATACACACACAGACACACACCTCTCACAGTGGGCTGACACTGCTCTCTAGGGACTAAATGGGCTTCTTGGCATCTGAACAGGGGCCAGAGAGATACCACAGAGGGTCTCAGTTGGTGGCCACAGAGATACTGAGGAGAGATAAGTGGAAAAAATAATGAAAAACATGTTGCTCTCCAGCCTGCCTCCAGGCACACAAATACCAGCACAGTGTCTTCTCAATAGACAGTTAACCCTGCAAGACATCTCTTCCTGGAAAAGTTTCAAATTAAGAAGGTGTAATGGGCTTTTGGACACATGTTCTGGAGGAGTTACGGGGCCCTCAAGCAAGCAATCAAGTCTAGTCAACTTACAGACATAGTGAGTCACAAAAGCTGCTCAGCTGATCCAAATATCTCAGCTATGAACTGACTGCACCTCTATTCCCTGCTGCGACCATGGTGTCTCGTCACATGTGTGATTCCTCCACAAGACTCCCAGCAAAAGTCCATGGGTCACCATGTGAGTCCCTTCAGTTGGGATGTCAAACGGCAGCATGTGACATGGGGACTGGGTGAGGAACAACGGAGTGATGCATTTTGGGTAGGGACAGGGACGTTGACGAACAAGAGCAAACAGACAATCAAAGAGACCTTTTGGGTAGAAGAGAAAAGCAAACACAAAGCACAAACTGAGGCAGGAATTTCAGGTACTGACATCTAAAGCACAGCTAAAACAAAACACAACACACTGATCTGCAGTCCTTTTGGCAACAAGATGGGACTGATCCACTGAACAGCCAGTCACCTGATCACCCCTCCTGTCACAGCCACACCCCCAACCCTCCTCCCAATGACCACACCTGCCCTCAAGCCATAAAAGATGACTCCCTCCTGATATATGTCTTGAATAAACAAACAGCACATTTTAATTAACATCTAAAATTTATTGCTGTTAATTAAACCCCCCTGTAGATACAGTGCAGACGCATTCCCAGGTAGTAAAATTACAAGCCCGAACTCTACTTGAAATTTGAGTTTCAGCAACCTGGCAGGCAGAAACCATGAAAGAGGGGTTGACAGACCCCCCACAAAATGTATTCCTGGGCCGGATGCGTTGTTGGGTTGTTGGGTCCACTCCGTCTAACGGCATGTTTGATGAAGGAGTTCCCAAATGGCAGGCGCTGCCACTTAGCGGACGGCACATAGTGAAGCCACCCAGTCCTCAACAGCCTCAGCCAGAAAGCGGCCAGAGGCTCTCCGAGAGCCATGCCATCAATCTTTGCTCTGTAGCCACTGCAGTGAGGTTCCCCACAAGGGGCAATTCCAGGATTTAAACTTCAGGGGGCTCAGCTACCTCAAGAAATACAGGACGTCACCCCCCCCCCCCAATGATTAAATTTGCTAAGAGGAGGGGGGACCTCCGCAATAAAGTTTGGCAACCCATACAAAATGTATATGAAGATCTGGGACAAATCGCTAAATAGCTTTAGAGAAATTAATTTTTAAGGGGAAAAAATGGGGGGCCCTTTAATAGTGTCCAGAACCCTCTGTGCTCCCCACTTCTTTAGAATTAAGACATCAGCCTGGCTCTCCCTGGTTTTCAACAGTATTAAAAAAACACCCAGAAATCTTATCTACAATTCTACTAATTCAACTTTGCCACATATTTTTGAACTCACCTAAACGACGCTTTCGGGGGGGCCTCTTCAGTGGTCTTCAATTATGAGGTCCCAGCTAGCAGGTTTAAAAACACAACTAACGATTCACACACCAGCCTGCAGCCGCACGTGGCTTATACACTGACAGCTTCCTGCATGTCCGCCATGTAAATAAGCCATGGATGAGCCTCGGGATGCGGCCCCAATCAAATGCTGCCTCCGCAGAAATACTACAAGTCGGAGCAGCGGCAGTCAGCTGTCTCGGCCTGCACTGCACAACCCACTTAGTGCTCAAACGCCGACTCTGCTCCTTAAACACGTGCCACGTCCCCATGCCTGACCCTAACCGAACAAATTACCATGCTTAAAATGCTTGGCTTGTTTTTAGTTTTGTAGGTTACAGGTTGTTTTATGCTCCCCTGCCAGTAATCTCAATGCGGCATCTTAAGTTTCGACAGTTTGACAGAAGGGAGACAAAACAGGCCTGCGGTGAAAACAAGGCCGGATTGGCTCAGCGCTTCCCAGCCCAGGCCGCTGTACCGTTTGCACCTTTTCTCTGCAACTTGTTGGCGCTTGCAGTGAATTCTCAGTTGTTATTTGTGCAAACCAGGCCTGAACTTGAAAAGCACGTAATGTAATTGTTTTTGGTAAAACGAGATATCTGCGGCCCTGCTTTCGACAGGCACATCGGACCCGGAGGAGTGATTGATGGAGCAAATGTCACGGCAGTCACGCTACAGTTTCCCAATCTGCCGTCATCTTCTGCTTTACGCCAGAAGAACAGGATTACTTAAACAGGGTTACGGTGATGGATTACCTAGCACAGCATTAACAAATGCCGCCCTAAACTGAGCAATATTGGCTTACTCCAAATTACCCACTTTCCCAAGACTTTTCCATTAAAAAGAATATAAAAATGGAAAAAGCTAAGGAAATGGATTTTCCTGGCATCTTCCCTGGCTTTTTGATTGCAGTAGAGAAATTGGAACTCCATTGAAAATGAGAAGATCAATTTTGTCATTCAGAACAATTGCCATTGGTATTCTATATCATCACACAGGATGCAGTTTCTCGGTTTCACCATACAGTGTTTGCATGGTCTGGCTTTCATGTATTATATGTTAGTGCGCACCCTGCAATAGACTGGCAATCCCCTGCATTGGATAAGTGATCACAGACAGACAAGATTAGATTAGATTAGATTAGATTAGATTAGATTGATGATGGGTGGAAGGATGGATGGATGGATGGATGGACTGATGGATTGACAGACTAGATAGATAGATAGATAGATAGATAGATAGATAGATAGATAGATAGATAGATAGATAGATAGAACACACAGCAAAACCAAGCAAAAGTGTTTCTGCACAAGTTCGACTAAAGTCTGCTGATCCGCACACAAACAGCACATGGGTCACTGGGCTTTCTGGGACAAGCAGCTGCGGTTCTCTTTCAACAATGTTTTTGTGGAAAAGTTTTGCAGTGAAACACCCAGCTAAAAACCGCGTCATGCCGGAAGACCGCTCGCTCCGAGCGACTCCCATAAGGCCGTTCTCCACGCTGGGCAGAGATGCCTCCCAGAATTGCACTAGCTGAGACTGATCGTACTGCGTCTCTGCAGCATGCACATGCATGCGATGCTGTTACTCCTCCTCCTCCTGCGCTGTCTCACTCACGCTTTAATTAATGAGTCTAATGACACAAACTCTGTCTCAGTGGGCACACAGACATTAGGCCTTTTATTCATTTAAGGGATACTCTTTTTTCCCATTAATGCATTAGAATACCTTTTAGTTGCATGCGATTCATTTGCTTTCCTTGCTCATTAAATCAGCTAACTGTTGTGTATGATGCCCCACACAGTATGACATGCTTCCCCCCTTAATACCGTATGTCATCAGAATGACATCTCCCACACCCCCTTGCTCAGTTGTCCCTGGAAGACTTCTCTGCTCTGTGGTTTTTCCAGAAAAACCCCCACGCCTCCTGGCAGAGCCTCCCCTCTGCCTGTAATAACTCCGGCCGCCCAACTGGCCTGGATTGGCAGGCAGTTGGTGAACAAAAGCCAGATGAGCACATTGAGTGACAGAGTGTCTCTCAGGCACACAAACAGGAAGCTGCTATGTCCGGGTGGGACGCTAGGTCACACCACTGCATGCTGTGTACACACCAAAGGAGATGGTTTGACCATAGAGTCCCCCCACCAGGCTCATGGGACCACACTGTCCATGGTTCCGCTGTCCCGTAGCATCTGGGAACCGACTAATGCCCGAAAAGATGGATGGCAGTGGCCCAGAGCCCACCGTACCAAATCTGACCAAATCACGAGCCTTGGGTCTCTGCCCCAGCTGGCCCAAGAAAACAGCCCCACAGAACAGCAAGGGGAAAAGGCTGAAGCCATTTCTATTGGAGCAGTTGAGGTTTCACATGTCGACAAAATATTGACAGTGTAATACCGTTAAAAAATATTTATCAGGTATTTACAGTTTCTTGAATGTGGCGTCTGCATTTATTCCAGCAGATCCGGATGCTGAAGCCAAGCGCTCAGCCATGATTCCAAGGCAACAGGTACTGCAGCACTCAGAGCTGATTAATCATGACGGCTGGAGCCGACAGAAGCGATGCCTGGGATGGGATGTGCTCCCCACACCAGGGTGGCGTGCTCTGAAGAGCAACATCTGAAAACCT